CTCCACAATCTGTCCTGAGTCTCCAGTTTACAGATGACAGATTGTGAAACTTCTCAGCCTCAATAATTGTGTGAGAAAATTCCTTATATTAAATCTTTTTATATATATCCTATTGGTTCTGTTTCTCTGGAGAACCCTTGCTAATACACAGGACCAACGTAGATGGAGCATTTGGAACTTCAAGGACTCACTGAATGAAAGAGCATTAAAACATGTCTAGTCAGAAAAAGTTTTGTTAGAATCAGAGAATGGGGATTAAAAAATCTCCATGAAGGAGAAATTATAAAAAATACATAATTCCTGTTTTTATTTTTTTAAATATATAAATAAGTATATGTGTGTGTGTGTGCACGCACACACACACACACACACACACACATACTCACAGGCCATATATATATGCACATACATATACAAACACCTCTACCTCAAAGAAAATTTGGCATAAGATTCACCAACATGTTAATAGTGGTTATCTATGAATGGTGGGATTATAGGTGATATTTTCTCCTTTTTACTTTTTCTGTATTATCTTTAAAAAAAAAAAAAACAGTTATTTAGCCCTGGCTGGTGTGGCTCAATGGATTGAGTACCAGCCTGTGAACCAAAGTGTTGCTGGTTTGATTCCCAGTCAGAGTACATGCCTGGGTTGCAGGCCAGGTCCCCAGTAGGGGGCACACAAGAGGCAACCACACATTGATGTTTCTCTCCCTCTCTTTCTCCTTCCCTTCCTCTCTGTCTAAAAATAAATAAAATCTTTTAAAAAATCAGAAGGATATCTCAGGAGCGAGGAGTCCTAGCCCCACACCAGGTCTCCCCAGCCCAGGGCTCCAGTGCCAGAAAGATAAGTCCCCACAACTTCTGGCTGTGAGAAACCAGTGGAGATTGAGGCTACGCAAGACAAAAACTGCAGGACTCTCAGGCAGTTCTTCTTAAAGGGCCCATGTATGGACTTAGACTCATTCTCTCCAAGTTCCAGCACCCGGGCAGCAGCTTGAAAGGCACCAGAGACATATTGGAAGGAGCTGAATTGTCCAGCACCAGGGCAATAGCTGGGGGATGCAGCTTTCACCCAGAGAGATGTGCTGGCAGAGGCCATTGTTCCTTTTATGAGCCCTCCCCAAAAGAGCCACAAAGTCACAGAGCCAGAAGGTGGGCACCATACCTGAGACTATAAGCTTGGCTCTGTTTGCCCCACCTGGTGATTCCCTGAGGCTATGCCCGACCCAACTTCTGGGCCCAACCAAAGTGTTTCCAGAACTCTTCCAAACAAATGGTTTGTCTTGGTCATGCTTCAGGTTTTCCTAAGTTCTCTCAAACAAGCAGCCTGTGGCTTCAGCAAGCCCCATACCTCTCCCTAATGGCCCCAGGCCAGGCACTAGCAGCAGCTGGACATGGTTCACAGCTTGGCCTCACCTGGGCACCTCAAAGACCAGCATAAGCAGCAGCCATCTGCAGATCACTTTGTAGCTTAGGTTGTGTGACTCTGGACAGAACATAGTCAGTGGCTGACCTTTGACATGCCAACAGCAATCAAGGCTCAACTACAAGAAGAGGGTATATACAACCCACATAGTGGGTGCACCTTGAGTATCCAGCTTGGGAAATAGAGGAGACTGTGACACTGGACTCTACAGGGTATCTACTACATTTTGGAGGCAACCAAAATGAGGAGACAAAGAAACATGGCCCAAATGTAAGAACAGAACAAAACTCCAGAAAAAGAACTTGGAGAGAAGTAATGTAATAGATGCAGAGTTCAAAATACTTGTTATAAGGATGCTGAAGGAACTTAGTGAAGACCTCAATAACATTAAAAAATCCAGTCAGAAACAAAGGATACACTAATTGAAATAAAGAACAATTTACAGGGAATCAACAGCAGAGTGGATGAAGTTGAGAATCACATCAGGGAGCTGGAATATAAGGAAGCAAAATCCACCAATCAGAGCAGCAAGAAGAAAAAAGAATCCAGGAACATGAGAATAGTGTAAGGAGCCTCTGGGACAACTTGCACTGTTCCAACATTCACATCATAGGGGTTCCAGAAGAAGAAGAGAGAGAACAAGAAATTGAAAATCCACTTGAAAAAACAGTGACAGAAAACTCCTTAACTTGGTAGAAAAAATTGACATACAAGTCCAGGAAGTGAAGAGAGTTCCAAACAAGATGAACCCAAAGAGTTCCACACCAAGACACATCAATTAAAATGCCAAAGGTTAAAGACAAAGAAAAATCTTAAAAGCAGCAAGAGAAAAGCAGTTACCATAGTTACCTATGAGGGAGCTCCCATAAGACTGTCAGCTGATTTGTCAAAAGAAACTTGGCAGGCCAGTAGGGATTGGGAAGAAATAGTTAAAGTGATGAAAAGCAAGGGCCTGCAACCAAGATTACTTTACCTAGCAAAGTTGTTATTTAGAGCTGAAGGCCAGAGAAAGAGCTTCTCAGAGAAAAAAAAATGCTAAAGGAGTTTGTCACCACCAAACCAGTACTATATGAAATGTTAAATAGGCTTCTTTAAGATAAAAAATGTGAACAATAAATAGCAATAAATACATATCTATCAACAATTGAATCTAAAAAAACAATAAATGAACAAGCTGAACAGAAACAGAATCATAGATACAGAAAATGTTTTGATGGTTGCCAGATGGGAGGGGGTTCTAGGGGATGGGTAAAAAAGGTGAAGGGATTAAGAAGTACAAATTGATAGTTACGGAATAGTCATGGGGATATAAAGTAAAGCATAGGGAATGAAGTAGTCAAAGAACATACATGCATGACCCACAGACATGGACAACAGTGTGGGAATTGCCTGAGGGATTGGGGGCAGGCTGAGCAGAGAGGGGCAAAGGGAGGAAATTGGGATGATGATAACAGAATAATCAATAAAATATAATTTTAAAAAAGATCATATAGGGATAAGTTGCATGTGGGTAAACTTGATTTTTCAGATCTCCAAATAATGTGGATGGGCTAGAATTTTTTTATTTGTCCAAGCCAATCAGCACATTGGGAGAATAATCAGAAAACTCTGAACATATTTTGGATTAATTGCTTCTGAATATTTGCTTAAGTACTAAAAGCAAGAACTTTAGTTCTTTTAAGTACTAAAAGAAATGTGAATGAACAAAACACCAACAACCAACCCAAATCCCTTCACATTCCTATATAGTCACAACAATATGCCTAACTTGTCTCAATAATTCAGGAATAGTCACCAGAAAGTTCTGCAGCTCCTTCAAAGGCCATTATGAGCTCCTCAATACATTCTATTTTCTTTATTAAGCTTGAGGTTTGAGACAAAAATCTATACAAATTTTAAAATATACATATATATATTTTGACCCAACCATTTAGTTTCTAGGAATCTACCCTACTAATTTTTATATATTTTTCCAAGTTACGTGTATAAGATGTTTACTGCTGAATTGTCTATAATAGTATAAACAATGTACATGAACTCCAATAGGAGGTGGGTGATACAAACAGAGTTTGTATATATAGACAGGATTTACATAAGGCCCATAAGAATCACAGAGATTAATCTGCCTTGGATAATCCCAACAATATTTTATATTGGTAGAATCACTAGAGGTAGAGATAGACCTAAGGCAAAGTGATGGATGGACAGTATGCTCCAGATCCATAGGGAGAAGAAGCTACAGTAACATTTGTATCCACCATTTGAATGCATTCTTTCTTTAGAAATTAAATTATTAGAGGTCACCAGAAAGCTAAAAGAAGTGGTTAGGGTAGAAGGGTTAAGGGAGCCTAGCTCTGCTGTAGGGTAGAATATATAAGGGAGCATATATACATATATATATATGTGTGTGTGTATATATATAAAAATATATATTTATATATAATATAAATATATATTTTATATATAAAATATAATATAAATAAATATAATATTATTTATATTATAAAATATATTTATATATTATATTTATTATATATAAATTATATATTTATATATTATATTTATTATATATAAATTATATATTTATATATATTTATTATATATAAATTATATATTTATATATATATTTTAACCTCAGAAATGTAAGAGGATAAATAGTGCCCTATGCTATGAAGTGCTTTCTTGATTTTTTCATACCAGCTACTGCTGATGTCATCATTATGAAGTAAACTCACTGAAGAGTGAAATTCAGTTTTTTGAAACCAAATGTATAGAAATGTTTAAAAAATATTCATCCATGCACAAAATTAAAAGACCATGCAGTACAAATGCACATAGAATACTGGGTGAAAAGCAAAACTACTTCAGCAGGGCAGGGGAGGGGATGATGCAACTACCATTCAGGGAAACTCAGAGGTTATCATGACTTGACCTTTTCATTAGCGACTAGGACAAGTCAGGAAAGGAGACATGAAGGAAAGCAGAGAGCAGATTTAGGAAAAAGATATTATTTCTTTTTCAAACAGGAACTTATTTTGGGTATTGCACATGCCCTATTTATAGCTAATATATTTTGACATATCTTTATTCAAGCCAGAGCCACTTAATTTCTCCCTCTGTGCCAAAGGGCAGCCTTCCTTTTAGGCTCTCCTCAAGAACAAAGTTAGTAATATTTCAGAGAATATCATAATGAGTTGATTGATTCTAAAATAAAATCACAGTAGGCAATCACTGAAAACGTATTGCATTAAAGGAACTTTGAAACTTACCTTCTAAATATTGGGAAAGGCTATTCAGTGACAAAATTGTGACAAAATTGGCTACCTAACTGCTGAATTTTCCCATCAAATCTGCAATTTGTCTTTCACTGCAGTTTAATAAGCTTGCTCTAAATCCTTATGCTATACTTGAATTTTTCAGTACAGTGGATGTATTGTAATGCAGCTAACATTAAACCCTTATAATGCAACTTTATCCAGTCTTCCATTTGTGTCACCTCAACATATCAGTGGTTTGACAAGTAAAGAGGTTCCATATAGTCAAGAAAAAATTTGTTCATCATCTGATCACTCACCACGGAATAATAATTCTTGGTAAGTGGAGTAGTTTCAAATCCTTTGACAGCCTTTGGGGAGAGAGGTCTCTCTGTGAAAAAAAAATTAATTATATTAATATCATACAAGTCTAAGATCAACATTTTACAACATAGGTCAACTAACATACTATACATATTTGCAAGCAGAAAAATCAATGGAAGTATACATTTCTAAACAAGAAACTATAATTTTAACAAACCATATGTGGTCAAAGTTAGATTTTCTTGTCCAGGCCTCTCAACTTCTGAGGGGGAGAATAAGGCAAGGAGTTAAAGTCTAGCTACTTAATGGTAGGGTGGGGACAAGAACTTCACTCCCAGTTTGAACTTGTTTCATTCAGCTTATTCAAAGCAGATAAGCAACGCCAAAGCTAATCAAATGCATATTTGTAAGCTTGAAAATTACAATATTAGTATAAATAATTGTAACCTTCGATTCTTAGGGTTACATACTATGTCAAAAACAATCAGAATATTTTAATACACTGAAAACTCTTCTCTCTTTTACTCATCATTTTAAAAAAGATTCTATTCATATATTTTTAGAGAGGAGAGGGAGGCAGAAGAGAGGGAGAGAAACATTAATATCTGGTTGCCTCTCACATGCCCCCTACTGGGGACCTGGCCTGCAACCCAGGCATGTGCTCTGACTGGGAATTGAACCAGTCAGACCCTTTGGTTCACAGGCGGGCACTCAACCACTGAGCCACAACAGCCAGTGCTCACCATTTTAATATGAATACATTTTTCCATAAAATGCAAGCAAGGGAGTAAGAGGTAGTAACATATAAGGGAACCCTGATATGGCTAGCAGCTGACTTCTCAACACAAACACTACAAGCCAGAAGAGAATGGCAAGAAATATCCCAAGTCATGAAAAGCATAGACCTGCAACCAAGACTTCTCTACCCAGAACGGCTCTCAGTTAAAACAGAAGGTGAAATCTAGAGTTTCCCAGACAAAAGGCGGCTAAAAGAATACACCTCCACCAAACCAGCTCTGAAAAATGAAGAGACTGCTCTAAGATGAAGAAAAAGAGTCTATGTGTACCCAGTTCCTTTCACAGATTCCAATACTTGATATTACCAATATTTTAATATGTATTACTCTAATTGTGACAATGATGTATTCTTTTAATTGTTCATTTATTTTTTGTTGAAACTAAACCTGCTTTTGTATATTTCTTGCCTATTTCTATTATTTTTTAAAAAGCTTTAAATGACTTTTTGGTATTCTTTATCCATTTATCGATTAAAGATTTATAGACTATTTTTCCCTAAAAAAAAAAAACCAAACAAAACACTATTAACCATTTTTTAGATGTGTGGCAAATACTTTCCCATTCTATTACTTGTCCTTTAACTATTTTTATATGTATATTTAGATATAGTCTTAAATGTTTAATATAGTCATATTGTCAATATTTACTTTATAGCTTCTGCATTTGAGTATTTTACTTCAGGGTAAGAAAAATATTAGTTTGCATTTTCTCCTAAAACTCCTTAGATTCTACATACTGATTTTTGACTCACCTTAATATTTCTTGTATAATGTGTGAAATAGGGCTCTATATTCGTTTTATTTCAAGTTATAGTGGTCCATGCACCTTATTTGTTAAATAAGCCTTATTTTCCCCATTGATTTGAAATAGCAACTTAATCATATACTACATTGTTAGATATATATGTTTGTTTCTAGAATGCTCATTATATTTTATTGATCTACTTGATTATGCTGTGCTGTTGTCATGTTGGTTTAATTGCTGAGAATTTATAATGGTTTTACATTTTTTAATATTTCATAATTGACGTTGACACTTAATAAAAAATATATAAAATCAATCTGCATTTAGAAAGAAAGAAAGAGAGAGAGAGAGAGAGAGAGAGAGATGGAACTCCTACCTTTTGTGACAACACAGATGGAACTGGAGAATATTAAGCTAAGTGAAATAATCCAGTCAGTGAAAGAAAAATACCATATAATCTCACCTATAAATGAAATCTATTCAACAAAATAAATGAACAAACAAAATAAACCACAGGCATGGAAACATGGAGCACACTGAAAGTGACCAGAGGGGATGGGGAAAGGGGACAATGGTGGAAAGAAGGGGAAGGGACTAGACAAAGAACATGTATGAATGACCCATGGACATGGATATCAGAGTGGGAATTGACTGTGGGAGCGGGGCGTGGGAGTGGGATGGGTAGAAGAGGGCAAAGGGGGAAAAATTGAGATAACTGTTATAGAATAAACATTATTTTAACAATTCTTTTTTAAAAGTAAGAAATTAAAGCATGCAGATTGGAAAAGAAAAAAAAGAAATTGTAAATCTATCTGAAAAAATAATGAAATTAAAGTTCCCTAACTTGGTGAAGGAAATAGACATGCAAGCCCAGGAAATGCAAAATATCCCAATTATGATGGATGCAAAGAAGCCCACTCCAAGACACATCATCATTAAAAGGCCAAAGGTTAAAGATAAGGAAAGACTCTTAAAAGCAAGAGAAAAGAAGTTACTTACCAGAAGGTTGTCAGATAGGAAGGGGGTGGGAGAGAATAAGTGAAGAAGTGAGGGGGTTAATAAGTACAAATAAGTAGTTACAGAATAGCCATGGGGATGTAAAGTACAGTATAGGAAATAGAGTAGCCAAGGAACTTATACACATGACCCATGGACATGAACAATGGTGGGGGGATTGACTGAGGGAGTGGGGGGTGCTGGGTGGAGTGGGGCAGAGGGGGAAAAATCAGGACAACTTTAATAGCATAATCGATAAAATATAATTTAAAAAAAGAAAGGAAGCTAGTACAGTATTACTACATACTATCTTTCCTACCCTCATTTTCTCAATTCATTTTGTTTTATATTCCATTTTTATATTGCTATTTTGTATGCTCTTTTAACTTCTTTCTGAAGTATGGGGGAGTATAAGTATCCAAATAATATAAAATGAAGCCTTGGCTTTCCTTTTGTAAAAATATTTTCTTGTTTTGTCTATTATGTGTCCACTCTAAAAATGCAAAATACAGAAAAATTAAAAAAAAAAACACTGATAAGTCCATCACCCAGAGCTAACCATCATGCAGAATAACATTTTGAAGTGTGTCTTCTCACTCATTTTATATATATATATACACACACACAAATATATATATATATATATGTATTTGTAAATACACATACATGGATTTTTCTTTACCTACAGTTTTGTAATTCTCCTATTACAGCATTATTTCAGGAATAATTTCCTATTTTACCTTTATTTCTAATTATCATTATATCTGAAATGTCTCTTATTTTTTGGCACATAATAGCTTTTAAGACATTTTATTTGACCTTTACTACAACCCTGTCAGGCAGAAATGATCTCATTTTGCGAAGGAAGTCATTAAGGTTCAGGAAGGTTGTGTAAGTTGCCTAATTGTATAAGTCTGGGAAATGGCAGAGCCAAGACTGCAGTCCAGGTGTGTCTTGACAGGAGCCTATGATTCTAACCAATATGATGTCCAGAAATAAAGCTACTGATGGTCTCAATCAATGGATAGTAGTTCTTACTAGAGTTCAGAGGGACCATCAGCTTGACCTGGGATGGTGAGAGAAGACCTTGCTGGGCCGAGAATATATAATCTGGCCCTGCAAGGTGGGGAGAATTCAAACAAGCATAGAAGACAGTTTTCTAGTCAGGGAAGATTTGAGAAGCACAGCTATAGAAATGGTAATCCTCAAGGCAGGACTGTTCATGACGGAGAATTGTCCCGCTGTGCCAGGCTCAGCAGAGTGGAAACAAAGCAAAAAGGCAGCAATGCAGGCCAATTCAACCACTTCCCAGGGATGACAAGTGAGGTATGGCTAGTTTGGGGAAGGTTTATGCTATTTCAAGATCTACCAGGATGCCCCGGCTGGTGTGGCTCAGTTGGTTGGATGTCATCCCACAAACCAAAAGGTCACTGGTTTGATTCCTGGTCAGGGCACATGTATGAGTTGTAGGTTCCACTACCAGTCAGGGCATGTATGGAAGACAGCCAATCAATGTTTCTCTTCCAAATCAATATTTCTCTCCCTCTCTTTTTCCCTCCATTCTCCTCTTTCCAAAGTCAAAAATAAAGATAAAAGACCTGTATGGACCTACCTGGTCCATTTCACAAGGCTTTACTGGGTAAACCTGAGCAATGTAGAACCACTTTGCCTATTACTTGAGATTGTGTTGCAGAGTCAGGATGTGAACCCTAGTATTGTATTGCCAAACCTGGTGTTCTTCCAGAACACCATGGTTTTGCCAAATACTTTTAGTTTTGTATTAGGCAAGTTTTCTACAATGTAGCTATAATAGTTCTACTTAAAACTCAGTTGTTTTGTGGAATTATCATGTAAACCAGTCTTGATAAAAAATAAAACTTTATAGACATACCAGCAAGCTGTGGTCACCTTTTGAAAGCAAGGCCAAAAAAAAAGGGTAAACAGTAATGTACAGCCTGACAAGACATAGAACAAGAAAGGAAAGACCATAGGAATGAGTCATTGTAATTGAAACAAAATGTTAACTATGTAAACTAGAACTGAGAATCATAAATTGAAAAGAAAGAAGTGACTGACATGAATGGCTGAATATGATGTAAAATGAGCTGGTGCTTTGATAAGGTCAATAAAATTGTCAAATCTCTAGCAAGACTGAGAGACAAAAAATTGAGAAGACACAAGTTACCAATACCAGGAGTGAAATGGGATATCATTACAGACCGCAGAAATATCAAAAAGATAAAAGAATATTACAAAAAAACTCTACATACATAAGTTTGATAATTAGAAATGAAATGAATCAATTCCTCAGAAAACAAAAATGACCACAACTCTCCAATATGAAATATATAATTTGAATAGCCTTACAACTATTAAGAAAATCGAATTTATAAATTTAAAACTCTGGAAAAAGAAATCTCCAGGTCCATGCAATTTCACTGGAGAATTCCATCAAACATTTAAGAAAGAAGCAATAGAAATTCTTCACAAACTCTTCTAGAAAATAAAAGTGGAGGGACTACTTTCCAG